TATATATGTATATGTATATGAATGTATATGAATGTAATTATTCACCAGCCATTTTCGAGCAAGAATGGGTTCAAATAACTCAATTTGAGACGGAACGAGCGGATTTCGAGCTGAAATGAAATGAATCCAAATAACTCAAATTGAGCAAGCTGGTTTTGATTTTGAGCCAGATCATCCTTGATTCAATTTCAAGTCGGCTAGAAATCGAATATAACGAGCCATGAGCCGATTTCGGTCCCACTCCAGCTCAGCTTGAAATCAAATCATTAGCATTCTTATCTATATAGCAATAATATAAAATTTTTTGGCGTTCATTTTCTCATCTATTTTACATCAAAAATAGCTTTAAAAATAATAATACATAATATTTAAAGTTCAAATAACAAGCTTAATTAATTTGCCACCAATCTTAAAATTAAATTAAAACCCATGCATTAAACTCTGAATAAGAAAAATAAAAATGTTTAAATTTATTTTAAAGAAAAAATGTCTGATATTGGCATTATAAAAATTAGAAATATAATTATTTTATTAAATTTTTAATGATAAATATTAAAATATAACTTAAATATTTAATATTTAATATTTAATATTTGTGAGATTTAAATGATAATTTTGAATCCATTTGTAATTATGAAGAAAGATCAGCCCATAATGACAATTTTACATAGCACCCGAAAAATTACTATTTACAAATCTACCTCCCACTTTCATCCATTTTTCAAATTCTCGCTCAAATATCAAAATTCATGATAAAACTCCAACTCGTGTTTTTCATTTTGATCAAATTTTCAATGATTTGATCATGACACGCGTAAATGCATCTGTCCCGCACTTCAGAAATTTCACATGAGTGGCAGATTTTGTAAATAGCAATGCTTGTAGTGGTATGTATGTAATTATTATTATATTTGTTTGCCTGCATATGGAATGACCTTCAGAAATAGGATTAAACCATATTTAGAGTGCTCCACTAGCAATATTTTTTGGCTTTATATGATGTGATATTGAAGGAACTGGAAAAGGGGTTAAATCGCTAGATTATGATAAGAATCAAATGAGTGTTTTGTGGACTCTTTTGTTTGTTTTCATTAGTATATCATAAGCTCATTTAACTTTTTTAAGATTTACAGATATACCATTGAAATCAATTCATATATATTTACTTATCAAAGGCACAAACTTTAATTGTTTGCATGCTCACTACTTTATCTATGTATGAAAGATGTATATTTCTCTTTTTGAAAGTAGGAGTGGTGGTATTTTTTATGTGATATGAAAGATGTGGCGGGTATAAATGTAAAAAATGAAAGTTTATGTGTCAAATTTGTAAACACATAGGAATTGTTTGGTATGTTAGATGCCCCTAAATTTTTTTGGTAAACATTGATGGAATTAGAGAGGGACTGAGGGCTTCTCTCGCCCCTCGAGATTTAAGTCAATTCTAATTGTATTGGATTTGATGGCAGCTGCTAATCATATGATCTTCATGCCAAACATAAGAAAGAATAAGCTAAAGATCCTAGCAAACTCACCCCGTGTTCTCAAATAATCTTAGTTTTTTTTTTTGTTTCGGCTTCCTGAAATCATTCATCGGCCTCACATAATCTGTCATTAGAAAATACTACGATAAAAGTGATCTGTCAAACTAAGAGTCTGGTGACTATAACTTTTTAAAAAGGTGTTTGTAAAGTTGTGACGAAGAAAATAAATGCTTAAAAAAACAACGGTGAGAATTGTAAATATACTTTTAAAAAAAAAAATCAAACAACAGTTTTCTTAATTACAACCACCGTACGATAACATATCAAGTTGAAAAAACCAACTTCTGATCACATAAATTTTTAAAAAATAACAGGAGAAACTGAAATTGTGACAGAGGTCTAAAGCGTAAAGCATGCAGAAAACTGTCCCAAATAGACCATAATCGATGATTTTTGTGGAAATCTTCAACACCTTTCACGTAGATGAAATACATGAATCTTGTTTTGAGCTCTTCTAATTGTCACAACTAATAATCTATAATGTTTGGCATGGTCTCTGCACATCAAACGCTTATTCTATTTATAAGATGACTTCATCTTTACTTTGAATGCCCCCTATTTATATATATGTATAGTAGGAAAAGCCTAGAAAAGCATGAAATATACCCCACAGCAACAACAACCCTTTGCCTAACCTACCTCTCATCCTCCCCCTCCCACTAAATCCTCTTAAACAAACAACCTATTCCACATCTTCAGGTTCAAATTTCATTCATTTCTCATATATTTCTCTAATGTTTCTCTTAGTCTCTCTCTCTCTCTCTAAAGCTGTGCATTAATCATGAAGTGCTAAATGTAAATTTTATTCATTTTGGTTTCAGATGCTCAAGTTGAAATGATGGTGAAGATGGAATCATGGCTGGAAGAAGATTCATGAGGTATGCATCTTTGCTATTATTTCCCTGCTCTGAAGGCTCTTCAAACTTAAATTTTTTTATTCCAATGAAATTTTTTTTTTTTCTTCTGAAAATTAATAGTTTTAATTGAACATATAGTTTATTTCAGGGTTTGTTGTGTTATATAAGGCTTTTTTCACTGCAAATTCTTCCCAAAATCTGAATATTCTGTACAGTTTCTTCAGTCCCATCAAGTTATTGCAAGAGGCCAGTTATGAATAAGAAGAGTCCTACTAAATATTTAATTCGACTAAAACCTTTATTATCTATACTAAATTAATTTAAAAATATATTTTTTGAATTAAAACTCTTTAATTCAAGAAAAAAGGAGGAAAAAATATAGTTTATTATTATTATTATTGTTATGCTTATTTTCTAGAGTTCTGAGGTGGATGTTTGAGCTTCTTGAGTCACTTAATCTTTCATCCATTCATCTTTATTTTGATGCCTCACCATATTACTATTGTTATTAGGGGCATTTACATATGTTGCACACAATTCATATGTATTTACGTATCTCACATCTCAATTTTTATATTTACACGCATACCAATCAGATCTTTAATATCACGACAAAAATAGAACTATTATCCCTTTTTAAAAGTGAAATACACAATATTTTCATTCAAAGGTTTAAGACATGCATCAAAGTGAAATGTATGTAAATATGAAAGTTTAGGCGTGAGATATATAAATACATAAGAGTCGTGTGAGTGCTATGTAAATTTACCTTCTTAGTATTATTATTATAATTATTTTGGGAGGCATTTGCATACATACCACACAACTCTTATGTATTTACATATCTACTTTAATAATTATATGCATAGCACACAAATATTTAATGTCACATCAAAAATACCATTATCACCTACTTTTTGAAAGCGAAATGTATCTTTTCATGATAGGTTTATCGCTCCAAAGTGTTATAAATGCAAATATTAAAGTTTAGTTTTTATATATGTTATGGTGTTTTATGTAAATTTTTCTTCTTCTTCTTCTTATTATTAAGCTATTAAGTCATAGTATCTATATGATAACATATTCAGTAGCAGTGCAGAGGTCATGAGCATCATCAGAACAAGAAGAAACAACAAGCAAGATGAAATATATGAAACTTGGAACAAAACCAGATACTTTCTACACTGAAGAGGCCACAAGGTAATTTAATTTTCTTACATAAATACCCACTAGCAAGTCATTGTAATTATTATATATACAAAATTTTTGGGGTTTTTTTTCTTCATGACATGATTCAATAAGGTCTTAAGATAGTTTCTGCTTGGATTTATGAAATTAGTTGAGATGAACATGTGACAACGGTCATCGAACACAACATGTGACGCCAAATTTGTAATGTCTGTTTTTGCAACTCAATTGTTTTTTTTTTTTTTTGTTGCAAAGGGTATTAGTGACATGAAAATGACCGTTTTGAGATCGTCGGATTGGTCACAAAAGAATTAGATTATTACGTTGGTGCTATTTAACTCCTTTTCAATTGAAGTGCTTATCAATATAAATTTTGCAAAAAAAAATTGCAGGTCAATAATGACAGATGTGCCAACCGACCTCATCATTCAAGTTAACAATACAAAGTATCTTCTACATAAGGTGTGATCTCTATCTCTCTCTTTCTCTCATGTAAATAAACTAATATGCATACTCTGACATTCAACATCATAGGATAAAGAATATGAAAGCTAATTTGCATGTTTCATTGATATTTTTTTGAGAATGCACCTTGCATCATAGCAAAATACTAATGTATATCACTCCTTCCAATTCTCAATAAAAACATGGAAGGCTTACATATACACTTCTAAACACCTATGTATTTGCAAATCTAACACACCTAAATTTTAAATTTTCAAATACATGAGCTGTTGATTTCCATGTTCTCTTAAGTGTAGTTTCCCCTTCTTCTCAAGTGCGGCTTACTCCAACGGCTATGGTCCGAAACAGACAAAGAAGGCCTTCCAGCTCCAATCCTCCTCCTCGATCTCCCCGGCGGCGAACCGGCCTTCGAACTTTGCTCCAAGTTCTGCTACAACATCACGATCAACCTCAGTGCCCATAACTTCATCCAAGCCATGGCAGCTGCCGCCCATCTTCAGATGACTGAATCAGTCTCCAGAGGAAATTTGATCCTCAAACTCGAAAATTTCTTCTATTCCTGCATTCACCATGGATGGAAAGATTCAGTTGTTACTCTCCAAAATGCAAGTTTTATGAACTGGAATGATGATCAGAGAATAATACAAACTTGCCTCGATTCCATTGTTGATAAAATCCTCACACCTCCATCACAAGTTACATGGTCTTATACTTACACAAGACCAGGTTTCAGCAGAAAGAAGCACAGTTCTGCTCCCAGAGATTGGTGGACAGAAGACATATCTGATCTTAATATTGATTTCTTCTGCTCCATTATCCATGCTCTCAGATCAAAAAAACGGCTCCTTTCAGCTCTCATTGGAGAAGCAATTCATGTTTTTGTATGCAAACAGCTCCCAGATCCAGATGAAGTTAATTCAGCACAAAGTTTGAGTAAATATGAACATGAAACCACGGCGAAGAATCAAAGAATGCTTGAATCTGTAGTAAGTACAATTCCAGCTGAACCTGGTTCTGTATCAGGGAAATTCTATGTAAAACTGCTCAAAATTGCAAGTTTTGTGGGCGCTTCTCCTTCTGTTAAGGCTGAGTTAGTGAGAGGATGTGGTCGTCAGCTTGATGAAATTGAGCCGAAAGATCTAATTTTTCATTCTCCAGCCATGAGAAGATCGTTAGATACTGATATTGTTGAAGCAATAATGGAGAATTTCTTAAGACGGTTCAGTCGTCCGCCTGTGAGTGAAGAAGAGAGTGAGCGCAGGCTTAGCTCCATGAAAAGAGTGGCAGGGATATTTGATTCTTATCTGGAGATTATTGCCCATGATTCTGAGCTTTCTGCAACTAAATTTCTGGATCTTGCCGTAATATTGCCAGAGAGAGCAAGACACAAACATGATGGGCTATATCAAGCGATTGATACATTCATCAAGGTGTGTGAATCTCTTTTACCATAGTAATGTATAAGTCAATTCCTTTGTATTTGCATATCTAACCATCTAAACTTTATTTTCTGACATTATAACCCAAAAATCATTTACACCACATTAAGAATATCACTATTTCAACTTAAGAAAATGAAGTACACCTTTTCATGCAGAGGTTGGATGGTGTGTGTGTGTGAAGTTTAGATGTTACATATGTAATCACATAAGAATTGAGTGTTTTGCATGCAAATCTTGCTATCAACTTTATAATATCAAAGTATGCAGAATGTGTTGTTGGAGCGTTATGAAAACCATTCAAAACATCCAACACTCGTCAACTAAACATATTATAACATTTTAAAAATCAAATATATTTTATTTCAAATACAAGTATAAATAACTAAAAAATAATAAATAATAATAATGAGACATTTACAAATATACCACACAATTCTCATGTATTTTACATATTTAACGCCTAAACATTCATATTCACTTGCATACCACTCATATTTTTAACATAACATCTAAAAAACCACCACCACAGATTAATTGTGAAATGGCATTTTCATGCATAGGTTTATAACATCATGTTGTTATTAATGTAAATATCAAACTTTGGGTGTTGGATATGTAAATACATAATAATAATTGTGTGGTAGGTATGTAAATTTCTCAAAAAATAAAAAATGATCTCTAACAAGCCCCTAAAATTTTTCACATTCAAGAGCATACTAATCTCAACATTAATGATTACAGGAACACCCAGAGCTCAGCAAGACAGACAGAAAGGAACTTTGCAGACTAATCGAATGTCATAAACTTTCAGCTGAAGCGAGATCACACGCAATAGCGAACGACAGAATGCCATTAAGAACAATAGTTCAGCTCTTATACATACAGCAAGACGAAGCTTCAAGAGGCCCTCATGGACTCCATAAACGCCATTCTTTTGATCCTCTGAATCTTCACAGGAGAGGAACAAAGATGGAGGCTAAAGAAGCAGGGAGAGCAGAAAAGGAGAGGGGGATTACAGTGGAGCCGAAGGTGGTGAAGGTAGCTGAAGCTTCTTCTAATGTTGTTAGAGATAGATTCAGAGGAGAAGGCAGGGAGGATAAGAAAAAGTTAAGAGATGATATGTAGAGCATTGATATTTGATTTTAAGTGCATTTTTTTTATATGTTTGAGTTTTATCCTACGCAAAAATCAATTTTTTTGGTTTTGTTTTGAAAGTAGTGTTTTTGAAGGGTTTTTGGAAGTTTTTGGGATCAAGATTGATTTTTTTTGGTAATTGCTTGTGTAAGAGAAATTTTATTATTTACAAAACTAATATTGCACTGCCTCAATTTCTTTTAAGTTTAGGGTTTAGTATTGAAATTCAAAACAAAGCTCCAAACTGTTTTTTTTTTTTTCTAGGATTTTATAACAATTTGCTCAGGATATGTTAAAATAAAAGCGACCATTGGGGATCACACATGCTCTTGGTGTAACTTAAAAATATAAGCATTAAGCGTAAAAATTCACACAACAATAATCAGACACAAAAGATTGACGTGGTTTAGCTTTATATTGATTCGTCTATGTCCACGAGAAAGGAGATTTTACTGGCACCGCATGTGGAGATATAAAAACAGTTTGGGATTACAACTTAACACTTCTTCATATCATTACTCTTACATGAGCCTTATATCATTTATATAGAGGAAGATTAGACCATATAAGAAAATATCCAAACAAAGAAACAAATCAATTATAATATAACAATTAAATATAAGCTATAAATACAACGTAGAAGTATCGCCCAATGTGCGACGTGTCACGTCCTGAATTCATAAAGTGATAGGATTTATGCTGATTAGAAGGATAAATCCGACGCAAATTGTGATTAGCGTCGTGAAAAAATTATCGTTAGAACGATTAAAACGGGTGACGATAAATAAATTAGCATGTACTTTTGCATTGAAACTTTGTTTTTTGGTCGGTTTTAATGTCTATAATCGTCATTGCTATAGATTTTCGTTGGATAACTGACTGGCGCGACATTAGCATTTGCTTTTGCATCAACCACAAGTCGACATAAATTTATGTCAACCTAAGTCCACGACAAATTTGTTTGTGTCTGATGTGCCTCAATTTCGATTAGGTAATTTTTTAATAACATACTTATCTACTATCACAACTGAAAAAAATAATAATCAACAAGTGTAAACAATGATAACAAACTTAATTTTATATGTAAATCTCATAAGTGACCCTTGAGTTAAGAGGGCAAACACAAATTAGTCTAAAAAATTAGGTGGAACCAATGAATATTCGATGATTAAAGGAGTTCAAGATTTAAATTTCACATTTTTAATATTTAACTTGATGTATGTTAAATTTATAATTAAATTCGATTAAAATATGCTAAAAAAACACCCTCATGATATTTGCAAAAATTTGAGTCCACAATATGCACGCAATTTTGCGCGTGTACAAACTCCGCAATACCCCATAATAACCTATAAATAACATCTAAATAGAAACTGTGGAAGTTATTAGGGTAATAATTGTGCGCGTGTCCAAACCCCGCAATCCCCCATAATAACCTATAAATAACATCTAAATAGAAACTGTGGAAGTTATTAGGGTAATAAGTTTAATACCTCAATAATCTCTCAATAATCACGCAAAGATAATAACATACTTATCTACTATCACAACTGAAAAATAAATAAATAATCAACAAGTGTAAACAATGATAGCAAACTTAATTTTATATGTAAATCTCAGAAGTGACTCTTGAGTTAAAATGGCAAACACAAATTAGTCTCAAAAATTAGGTGGAACCAATGAATATTCGATGATTAAAGGAGTTCAAGATTTAAATTTCACATTTTTAATATTTAACTTGATGTATGTTAAATTTATAATTAAATTCGATTAAAATATGCTAAAAAAACACCCCCATGATATTTGCAAAAATTTGTCCACAATATGCACGCAATTTTGCGTGTGTACAAACTCCGCAATACCCCATAATAACTTATAAATAACATGTAAATAGAACCTGTGAAAGTTATTAGGGTCATAAGTTATTGGATTTAATACCTCAATAATCTCTCAATAATGACCCAAAAAGAAAATTATTGTGGGATTATTAAGCACTCAACTCTACATACTTATTAAGGGAAATATTTCCCCATTCTCCATTTTGACACCGGTCATTAACAAACATTTGAGAAAAACAGTAGGGTTTAAGGCGGGTTTTGCCATATCGAAGCTCGGCCACGAAGGCGGCGTTGGGACTCCTTATCTCTTTCCGTCTGATGAGCCCTCTCGATCTCCATTTCCTCTCTCGCTCCATCGTTTCTTCTTGCGACGACTTTGATGAGTAGCTGCGCCACCCTCATCCAACCCAAACTCCACTCTCTCGATTCGTCTCAGGTTCTGTTAACTCCCCATTGCCTACCTCCATCTTCTCCACATAGAAGGGATATGTGGGGAACCTTATTCCTGCGAGTTTCCCGTCCCTGTTCTTCCTTCTCCTTGTCTTCCGTTTGCACCCCCATCACCAATTTCGTCAAAGATAGCTTCTTTTTGAAGAAAGCTTCGATTTTGGATTCGAGAACGCCTTTTAATGAAGGTTACGGCATGTTCTCTTCATTGGATCTCTGTAACCAGAGATCTCGTCGAAGAATTCTCTCTGTCGCGAGGTTCAAGGGGTTTGCCAGCGTTGCTGAAGCAGTTGAAGCTATTTCATCAACTGATGTCGATGAAGAAATCTCCTCAATTGAGGAAATTCATGGGTTTTTGGAAGAGATTAGTTTTAGAGAAGAAGCCATTGATACTTCTGAGGGGTGTTTAAGGAAGATGGAACACCATAAGCGACGGAAGCTGAAACAGCAGCACGCGAGGAGGGTAATTCCCGGCATGGGTGCCGGAAAGTACCACATTCTCCGGCGAAAGCAGATAAAGATAGAGACGGAAGCATGGGCTCAAGCGGCGCAGGAATACAAAGAGCTCGTGATGGACATGTGTGAGAAGAAGCTCGCCCCTAATCTCCCTTATATGAAATCTTTGATTTTGGGATGGTTTGAGCCTTTTAGGGATCAGATTGTTGCAGAGCAGGAGCTGTGTAAGGATCCCAAGTGCAAGGCTTCACATGCGCCTTACTTCAATGAGCTTCCTTCGGATATGATGGCGGTCATCACCATGCATAAATTGATGGGTTTGTTGATGACAGCAAGTGGAGATGGAAGCGTTCGGGTTGTTCAAGCCTCTTGTCAGATTGGTGATGCCATTGAGCAAGAGGTGTGAGATATTTTTTTAAGATTATATTTGTTTGGCTCATCCTTGTTTTGTTGGTTTGAGTTAGTAATGTGCTGACTGAGTTATGGTTATGTTCAGTAATTATTCATGGCGGTTTTACTTTTAGAAAGCTTTAATTACAAAAATTTTCATTTTTGTGGCGTGCAAGCATTGGAAAACACATTACTGTAAGTGCACTCCATAACTTTTTCAATGAGTTTGAAGATTATCATATTTTCAGGACCCTTTTGGATCAGCTTTCAATCAAACCTAGTTGGTATTTTTGTTCAAGTATAATGCAACTTGTGAATGCACTTATGTGATGCTCTATCACATGTAGTAAATTTTGATTTTGTTATTTGCAAAGTTAATCATATAAAAATAAATCTCATTATCTGTTAAACCAATTTGTTTTAATGTGGCTGTATGCACTGCTTAGTTTCTTATATGTGAACAACGGTTCAATTTTGCTTCTTGCCTCCAAATGTGTATATAAGACTGGCTATGGATCATAATTAAATTAGGAGGATATTCGTGGTTTGTGCATGGACTATTCTTTGTATGCTCTCTGGGATGCTTCTTATGAAATAGAAGTTTGTGCGAATAAGAGATTTTACAAAGGGACATTCTACTCTACTTCTAGGGTTCATTATTTGATATTGTTAGTTTTGAATATTAGGCATTGAGTTTTGATGGAAATGTTGAATAAAATTGTTATTAATCTATATAAACATCCCGGCTAGATTTACTTTCTTATTATTTGTTATGGATTTATTGAAAATAAAGGGAAATTTGACTTTACATTTCTCATAATATTCATACTTGGAGAAACATGACCATTTTCTTTTTTTTTTTTTTTGGAGAAATATGGCTGAATGTTAGTTTTCAATTGAAGTAGGAGTTGAAAGCCTTGTGGAACACTTGCGCTGCTTTTTATCATAAGAACTCCTCTATTGTTCCTCTTTCCAATATCTTTGTACTCGATGATCTTTGAGCATGTGTCAGACTGACATAAAGTTTCATGACCGTAGTCTCTATATTCCTTATGTGTTCAAATTAATAATTTTATACACTTAATTATCTATATATGAATATATTTTTCATACTTTAATTTCCAAAACATATAATGATGTTAGAAATTATAATACAGAGCTCGAACCATCTTTAAAGCAGTTTCAAATTATTATCATACTATGATTGAACCACTTTTAAACCATGATTGAACTGGTCCATTTTTAAACCATGATCAAAGTATCATAGTATATGATCAACGTTCCTCAAATCATGATTGAACTATCATCGAACATCGCTCAAACTTTCATACAAGACATGATTAATGCTTGGATATGGTTCACACAAGGTTCAATTATGGTTCGAGAATAATTCAAAGATGGTTTGATCAATGTTTAAAGATGATTTGATCATGAATCAAGGATTATTCATTTTGTTTTACCCTCATTATTTCTTTTAAGATTGATTTATTTAAATTATTTTTTTATATATATGCATATATGCTATAATCATACCTTTAAAGAGTTGGGAGTGTGATTCAGAAAGTGGTTAGAAAGTTTTAGACCGATTATCTCGTTGTTAAGGCTGAGAGATCCCACTTTAGTAAGTTCCTTAATTTTCCTAAACTATAGTTCTCTAGCACCTTAATTCGTCAATTGTTATCGAGGACGGTTGATGATGATGAAATTACTTCATCTTGTTCAACATTAGATGCAATAATACAAAATATTACTCTGTTGTGTTTGCTCTAATCAACGGGCTATGTTTGGAGAATACCCACATGAGGAGGAATACAATGGGATGAGCAAGAGTAGGTTGTGTGATAGCTTTCTATTGAGTCCTAGTTGTTGGATTACAATTTAAGATTCCCTATTTTTTTCATTTTTTATTTTTATTTTTTTAATTTTGAACACGTATTTCCCTAATTATGGTTATGAAGATTGACGGTCCTGACAAAGTTTATAATTGTTCTATTGGGTATTGAGACATTATTTGTCAGTTTGGTGAGTGTAAGCCTCAAGTTATTTTGAGACTTAAGTCTTAAAATCAACAAAACAAGAATTATTGTACTAAGCTTGAAACATGTAGTAAGAAGTAACTTATTAATACTCTAACTTTAATAGATTAAAATCTAACATATTAATATCCAAACATTAATTCATAAAATAAGAAGAGCTATAGAAACGTTAAAGTAGGACATAATAATATAATAATTCAATATAAGTTAGATATAATTAATCTCTCTCTTACTCCTGCTTTTATTTATCAAACTATAAACATAAAGCCACTAATGTAGAATTCTAAATTTAGAAAATTTATATCACTTTTATCGTTTAAAGGACCATTATTAGAATCAACATAAAGATTTATTTTCTCCTACATATCAATCTTAATTATATACATGTTCTCTAATTTTTTTCTCATCATAAACTGAATTATTTTTATTTTATTTAATCAATACTAATTACTAAAATTTTTTATTAAATTTTAAATCATTGAATCCATTGATAATTACAACTTAAATTACATCCTCAACAATGTATTATATAATTAAGAAATATTTATTAAAATTATTTTATTTATATTTATTAAAAGGAAGACTATATATTGAATTGTGTATATCTCACCAAAATCGAGGTCAAATACATTTTGTGGCGAGCATCAACATTATGTTTGCCTTGAGCTGTTGTAAACCTCATTGCAAATTTTTCAAAAAAAACTTTTAGACGGGTCTCAAGGCGAGTTTCATATTGCGAAATTTCAAACCATGGGGCATATTGGACTTAGACCTTTAGAAATATCCAAAGCATTGTGCATGATAGGAAATTTTTTTCTTTTTTAGAAGTTTGAACAAAGTTAAGCATGCTATTCTCGCAAAAAACTTTCTTTTCCTCCCATTTGTTGTGCTTTCAAAATCTAAAATGTTTCATTCTTTACTATTGTGTGATCATCATTGAAATCATGACGACATCTCTTTGCTGATATATAGTTTTATGATTTTAATCAATACAACAAATAATCACTAGTTCCTTACTATTTAGTCTCAAAAAATATCCAGCAAATTATTTATTTTTGCATTTTCTTTCGTTTTTGTAAAATGTTATTTTTGATTTGAACATTCTAATCCCAAATTCTAATTTTTTTTTTTTTTGGGTGGTAAATTTGCAACTCCTACAATCTGGCTACGCTGTGGACCGCCTTACCTTAACTTTTTCAGCTTTAATTTGTTCAAACAGGCTAGAATTTACAGATTTTTGGAAAAAACAAAGAAGCAAAATGTCAATAATAAGAGAGGTCAATATGATGATGACGATCCTGTAGCTAGAGAGGAACAACGCTTGAGGAAAAAGGTCGAAGATTTGATGAAGAAACAAAAGCTTCCCCAATTAAGGAGTTTAGTTAAAGGGAAGGATAAAAATAGGCCTTGGGGTCAGGATGCTCAGGCTAAGGTTCTCTTTCTTCTGCCCTTTTCATTTTTAGAAAGAGGTTTTTTTATTTATTCTTACTTTTGCTGTGAGGCATTCATTTTTATATTCTGTGAACTTAGGTTGGGAGCCGTTTGATTGAACTATTAATTGAAACAGCTTACATACAACCCCCCGTTAATCAGCATATTGACGGTCCGCCTGATATCCGCCCTGCATTTAGACATTTACTCAAGACTTTGATAAAGGAAACGTGAGAAAATGATCTTTTTTTTGGGGTATATTTACATACATACCATTTAATTCCTCTGTATTTACATATCTAACATCTAAAGTTACTTTTTTATATGAAAAGGTATATTTTACTTTTTATAAGATAAAATAGTGGTATTTTTTTATATGATATGGAAGATTTGGGGCTTTATGAATGTAGAAAGTAAAATTTAGTTGTCTAGTGGTATTTTTTTATATGATATGGAAGATTTGGGACTTTATGAATGTAGAAAGTAAAATTTAGTTGTCGGATGTGTAAATACATAAGATTGGGTGGTATGTATGTAAATGCCTTTTTTTTTTTGTATCTTCAGTTTAATGTGGGTTTTCATTTGCTAGTCATTTCACTTTGGTACGCTGCAATTGATTCGTGAGCAGGAAGAAATCTAGCAGGAGATACGGGGTTATCGAATGTGATCCGCTTGTTCGTCAAGGGCTAGAGAGAACAGTAAGATTTAAAATCGTAAATTTATTTTTCGTATTGTAATATCTCTTTAATTATATGCTTATTTACTTTTTTTGGGTGATTTTTGAAGGCTAGGCACATGGTCATTCCCTACATGCCTATGTTGATACCTCCTGTGAATTGGACAGGGTATGATCCAAATTTCCAAGAATGACCTGCTATTTTCAACGTACAAATCGACATCTTCATTTTTTTAAAGGAAGATTTACATACAAACCACTTGATTCATATGCTTTTACATACTTAACCTTTTCACTTTAATTTTTACATATGTATGCCACCTTACATATGCATGAAAATGTGTACTTTACATTTTGTAAGTTAAAAAGGTGGTATTTTTGACGTGTTGTGAAAATGGGAGTGGCGTAAATGCAAAATGTAGATTTTAGGTGTTAGATATGTAAATACGTAGGAGTTGAGTGGTGTCTATGTAAATGCCCCTTTTGTAAAAACTTTATGAAAATGTCAAGGTACAAATAAGCATCACATCCTAGTCATCATCATCATTATCTTCACGATGATTTTCTTTTATCACAACTATGTGGGCTCAACTGTTTGAACCTTCCTGTGAATTAATTTCTATCTAGTGCAGTATTATAAATCTTTTTGCAAAAATAGCCGCATAGTTGTCTTTTTTTTTTCTTTTATGCCTGCAACATAAATATTTAGGGGCATTTACATACATAATACACAATTCTTTTGTATTTACATATCTCACATCCAAACTTCCATATTTATACACATAAAAAACAGCACTGTTATTGCCTTTTAAAAGTGAAATACATCTTTTTTTTTTGCATAGGTTTAAAGCAACAAAGTGCTATGTGTGTAAATATGGAATTTTAGGTGTGAGATATGTAAATACATAAGAATTGTATGCTAGGTCTGTAAATTTTCCTAATTTTTATTTGTTCGTTCAATACTCTCCATTGCACACAGCCAAACTAAAGTCTTTTTTTTACAACTTCATTTTCAATTGATGCTTCACAGATGGTCTCCATAACTCTATTGTTTCATGTGCTTTTTCGCACTCTTTCAATACATTCATTACAACAACATCACTTATTCTTGGTTACAATCTTGAAAGAACTTATAATTTTTTCTGCTTGGTATATGTGTAAATGTGCCCTGTTTTTATTTTTTGCAATTTGATTTGCACAAATATGAGTCACTTAGCATCATTTCTAGCTAATTATGCTGTCATTGGACATGGTTTGATTTGTATTTTTAATGTTCCCGGATATTTTTTATGTGTTTAAACTTGTGGCAGGTATGATAAAGGAGGACACTTATTTTTACCATCTCACGTAATGCGAATTCATGGCGCAAAAAAACAGCGCGAGGCAATAAAAAGGGTGCCAAAAAATCAATTGCAACCAGTTTTTGAGGTTTTATCGATTTCTTATTCAATCTTTGTTTTCTTCATGTTAAGCTGAATTAAACAAGGGAAATTTACAAACATACAATTCTTATGTATTTTGATATCTACACCTAAAGTTTGATATCTACACTTATAACACTTTGGTGTCATAAATTTATGATGAAAATGTGGATCTCATTTTTAAAAAGTTAATAATTGTGGTATTTTTGTTGTGTTGTTAAAGATTTGAGTGTTATGAAAGCGAATATGAAAGTTTATTCGTTAGATATGTAAATACATAAGAGTTATGTGGTATGTATGCAAATGCCTCATTAAACAACTAATCATATTTCCAGGGGAACTATTTCAAAATTAAGTTTGCTTTTGTTAGTAGTTGTATGCTCTTTGGTTGAAATATCTGTTATATGTCTTGGTTTCCTTGTCTCAGCATTTGTTTTGAACGTCTCTACTTAGTTTAGAAAAGACATCTCCATGGATCTAAACCTTGTAAAAGAAATGAAATGGCTGGATTTATCTATGATATTGGCTCTTTTTTTTTAATGAAGTGTCAAAATAGTCCCCTGAATATTTACAGAAGTTGATTAATATCTGAGAATCTATAAAAATGTCAAATTAGTTCGTAGGACTATTTTAGTCCCTATTAGAAGATTTTGGGAGACTCTGTGACTAAAATAGACCCCTACAAAGTGTCATGGGACTATTTTAAAAAAATTTCTCCTTCTCTTTTTGTGAGTTTACTCATTAGAGATCGCATGTTCCCGAAGAACAATTATAACCAATTATATTGCATGACTTTACTTCTCCAGGCACTCAATACGCTTGGGGAAACCAAATGGAGGGTTAACAAAAGGGTTCTTGGTATTGTAGATAGAATATGGTCAAGTGGTGGGCGTCTTGCAGAATTGGTTGACCGTGACGATGTGAGTAGCTTCACGCGCTCCTTACTCTAACATTTGATTTTTTATTCTTTGGTTAGTAGATTATTCACAATTCTTATGTATTTACATATCTCTCACCTAAACTTTCAGACTCACATACATATTACTTTGGTGTTTTAACCTATGCAAGAAAATGTGTATTTATCTTTTAAAAAGTAGTAATAGTGCTATTTTTTTATGTGATATTAAAGATTGAGTGCTATATGTAAATATGAAAGTATAGGTGTGTGAAATGTAAATACACAAGAATTATGTGCTGTGTATGGAAATGCCCCCTTTTTCTTATAGTAATAGTGCTATTTTTTATGTGATATTAAAGAGTGAGTGCTATATGTAAATATGGAAGTATAGGTGTGAGAAATGTAAATACTTAAGAATTATGTGCTGTGTATGGAAATGCCCCTTTTTTTTTAACTTGTTTGTTGGCCAAAGTATATTACCATTTGAGCCAGCCTCTCTCTTTTTTTGTCTATTTTATTTTATTTTATTTACATTTATGATGTAGATTCCACTTCCAGAGAAACCTGCAACTGAAGATGAGAACGTGATTAGAAAGTGGAGGTGGAAATTAAGAGCTGCAAAAAAAGAAAATAGTGAGAAACATTCCCAGCGGTGTGATGTGGAACTTAAACTGGCTGTAAGAAATTTTACTTCAATAGCTAAAATTCTTTGGGTACCTGCACAGCACGCTATTCTTGTGTATTTACATATCTCACACCTAAATTTTAATATTTGCACATATAGATCTCAAATCTTTACTATCACATCAGAAACAACACTATTACCACTTTTTTAAAATGAAATATACCTTTTCATGCATAGGTTTAAAGCACCAAAATGATGTGTATGTAAATATGAAAGTTTAGATGTGAGATATGTAAATAGATAAGACTTGAGTGCAACATAAGTACATTTTCCATTTTGATGATGCCATAGTTCTTGTTGAACTGAATTTTCTTTATGGAGCAGGTAGCTCGTAAAATGAAAGATGAGGAAGGTTTCTATTACCCACATAACCTTGATTTTAGGGGTCGTGCATATCCGATGCACGCGTATCTGAATCATCTTGGTTCGGATTTATGTAGAGGAGTGTTAGAATTTGCCGAGGGGCGTCCGTTAGGAAAATCAGGCTTGCGCTGGTTGAAGATTCATTTGGCGAATCTATATGGAAATGGTGTTGACAAAAAGTCGTATGATGGTCGAATTTCGTTCACGGAGAATCATTTGAGCGAGATATTTGATTCGGCAGATAGGCCGCTTGAAGGCGAGCGGTGGTGGTTGAAGGCGGAGGATCCATTTCAGTGCTTGGCAGTTTGTATAAACTTGGCGGAAGCATTAAGAAGCTCGTCACCAGAAACTACGATTTCTCATTTGCCTGTGCATCAGGTCTCATGTTTTTCTTTCTCGTCTAGATGCATATCACTCAATTCCTATATATTTACATATCTAACATCCAAACTATGCTTTTCACTGTGATTATTTGCTTTGCTTCCAATACTGTCGTCTGATTATTTGGCTTTAATTTGGTATTAACAAAAAAATTTTAGATAATTTAATTAGTATATTTGTCATACTAAACTTTTCTCATGCAGCTTAAACTTTTTCTCCTTTTTTTTTCAGGATGGCTCTTGTAATGGTCTTCAACATTATGCGGCACTTGGAAGAGACAAGGTAAACTTCGTGCAATTTTGTCTTAATGTTTATTCTTTTCAATTGGATTACTTTAGGGACTGGTTTTAAACCCATGTCTTTTTGCTTTAGTTATGAATGTGCTTACTGGACATATACATGATGATGTACGTTGGTGTATGAGTGTATGTTTTTCGCTGATGATATCTTTCTTGTGGATAAAACTAGAGGAGTTCAAGAAAAACTTGAAGTATGAAGGTCTATATTGGAGTCTAAAGGCCTTTGTTTGAGTAGATCTGAAACTGAATACATGGAATGTAATTTTAGTAGTAGTAACTCTAGTGGCAGATTTGTAACTATGGGTGATTAAAGATGTGAACATTTTAGATATCTCGGATCTCTTGTTTAAAGTGATAATGATATGAATGGGGATGTTATTAATAGAATTTAGGTTGTTGGTTGAACTGGAGGAATGCATCAGACCTATTTTGTGATAGAAAAGTACCGCTTAAACTTAGGGTCTATTTGGGGCAGCTACAGCTGTTGAAGAAGAAGAAGCTGTGGCTATTGCAATTTTTTTTTTAAAAAAAATCAGACAGTTGCTTTCTAGTAATCACCAAAGGTATCCAGATATGGTGGGAAAACGCAGTTTTCAACTATAGCTTTTGAGAGTGCAGGCAAAACTGACAAGAAAAATTGCAGTGTGACACCACACCGCTACCGCACTACCGCCCCAAACAAACCCCTAAAGGAAATTTTTATAAGATAGTTGTGACGCCTGCAATGCTTTATAATGCAGAATGTCAGCCTTTCAAAGAGAATCATATCAAAGTTAAGTGTTGCTGAGATGAGAGTGCTTAGGTGGATGAGCGGCTTGACACTTAACGACAAAATTCATAATTATTTTTAGGTGGATGAGCGGCTTGACACTTAAAGACAAAATTCATAATTATTTGTGAAACGGTTTGTGTAGCTCCACTTGCAGACAAGATTAGAGAGAGTTGTCTTTGATGATTTGGTCACAGTAAACGGCGACCATCTGATGAACCAGTTAGGAGATTAGATGTTTTAGATTCAACTTTTGTTAAAAAAGATAGAGATAAACTGAAAAATAGTTGGGCATCTTGTTAAAAAAATGATCTTAATCTATTAGAATTAATGGAAAAATGACACTCAATAGGACACAATGGAGAAAAAGGATTCATGTAGCTGACCCCACTTAGTGAGATAAAGGCTTATTGTTGTTGTTGTTTATTCTTTTCTTCTCGGGGATTTGATATTGTCTGGACACCATAAGCAAAGTGCAATCGTGTTGCTATGTAAATAAAAAAATTATATCATTATGCACTGTAACTAGCATAGCATCGAGTTGCAAAGTTGATCTAATACTGGTCTTTTCATTATTTGTTCATGATTTGGTGATCTGTTTAATTGTTATCATTTAATCCTTTGAGATTTAAATTTTTTGATTCACACTCTGCACTTTTTTTTAGTGTTTTATGTTACAAAAATCTAGGCACACGTTTTAGCCCTTATTACTTGTTGAGGATGGGGTAGGCTTCGGAGTATGATAAGATTTCTTACTCTCTTTTGATATTTGAAATAGTGTATCAGTTGTGTTATTTGATGCAAGGAGCTTTGACACCGATCCAAGCTTCCTAGATGGTGTGGAATAACATGAAAAATGGTTGGTAAGTTGTACGATGAGAAAAGAGGGATGGAAGATGATGACTGAGAAATCGAGGTCTCGGCAGCTTGACAACAAACTGGAACAAGAAAACAATTGATCAGCTGTAGAGTCGGTGATGAAGGAGGCTTTCAGACGTTCTAGAGAGATCACCACCTTGATCCAATTAGGTTACAGGCACACCGCCTGAGAAGAATCAAATGATGCAACACTTCAATACAGAAAACTGGGGAAAAGTCTCCAAATAACCTTAACCAAAAACCCAAAAAATCCCCTCAACTAGGTTCCACATAATATATTTATACCGGTACCTAAATTAAATCCTAAGAAGAAATAAAATAGTGAATAAGGTCTCACAAGACCCGTAGCATCAAGATAAATGATATTATTTTTCTTATTAAATTGAGACGGGGTCTCTTCTAATTTAGTTTTAGTTTTTAGTGATTCACTTATGTTAGCATTTGCATATTTTCTTATCTCTTTCTATTAGTTTCTTCTACTTAGCTTCGAGTGATATGCCGACGTAATATCTATCTTTTCTTCTAATTTTGCAGTTGGGAGCTGCGGCGGTAAACTTGGTTGCGGGTGAAAAGCCATCTGATGTTTACTCTAGCATAGCTGCAAGGTGAGCTCTTTTAATAGTTGCAATACTTTGTTTTGTTTGTGGTAGCGGTGATGAAATTTGTTGAATTGATGAGGAGATTTTCTAAAGCCTTCTGTTTTGGTAAGCATTTATTTTTAAGCCTCATTGCTATCATCATTTGTTGACATGGTAAGCATTTATTTTTAAGCCTCATTGCTATCATTTTGTTGACAAATATTTTTATAATATTTCAAATCTGGAGTATTTACATGCATAGCACACATTCTTATATATTTACGTATCTAACACGTTTTACTTTCATATTGACATGCATGCCACTGGAATCTTGAACATCACATAAAAATACCACTATTATTAACTTCTTAAAAGTGAAATACATCTTTTCATGCATAAGTTTATAAACACGGAGTGTTATAAATGTAAATATCATTTTTTATTTGTTAGATATATGCAAATACATGAGAAGGTAAGGGGATAAATGAAAGGTTGTTTTAGCTAGAAATTGAGTTGCAAGACTAGCGCAAATTAGAATTTAGTTCTCATGTAGCACACTTGATGGGCATTAACTATTGTTATTTTGATGAAGGTATATCTGCAAAATTTATGAAACTCAAAATTTAAAGTCTCCTAGAGAAGGAACTGTAATTGTTATTTGTTGTCTTTTCATGAGAGAAAAAATGTTTTTTATTTCATTAGCTATTTTTTTCTTCATTTCCTTATTTTTATGTTAAGCATGACATAATCTTGTTATAACTGTTGAGCAGAGTTTTAGAAATCATGCAAAAGGATGCCAAAAAAGATAGTGCTACCGACCCAAACGTGGCTCGTGCTCGACTTCTAATTGGTCATGTATGATCTTATGAACTTTTTCCGTTTTCCATTTTTGCGAAGGCTTTGCTAATTTTTTTTTTGCATTTTTTTGTTGGGGCAATTATAGCATTTTGTGAAGGCTTTGCTATTTTTTTTTTTTTTTTGCATTTTTTTGTTGGGGCAATTACATAAAGGACCACCCGAAACTTGCTATTTAGTAATCAACCACTCTCTTTCATCCATTTTTGAAATTTACTCAAATATCAAAACTCATGGTAAAACCAACCCATATTTTTCATTTTTATCAAATTCTCAATAGTTTTGATTATGACACACGTAAATACATCGGTTCCACAGTTCAAAAAAATCACATGGATGGTTAATTTGTAAATATCAATGTTTCAGGTCGTCTGTATGTAATTATTCCTTTTTCGGATAATTTAGTGGATGGTGATAGTGCTTTTATTCCATGTCATGGTAGATTAACTTGATTTTTTTTTATTTATATTTTAACTCATGAATACTTTTGCATTGTATTATTATGAAACATAATACTAATTCTATTTTAAGATGTAAACTTTTAGTTTAGGTATCTATATGCATAAGTCACAATATGAGAGAAAGTTCTCTTCAAAATCTCAAAATAATAAGGAGCCATATCCTGAATTTATTTTTTTCAGTTAAACCCAACAAAATAATCAAATTACATCCATCCTATTATTTTTAACATCCACTCTAGTTTTGTGCAATATAATCTTTTATTGCAATCTTTGCATAATTAAATACTAAGGAAAGAAAATATTACCTTCTTAACCAAACTTTCGTAGCAACACACAATTATGTTGTATTTACATATCTCACGTCTAAACTTTCATATTTACATATATAGCACCTATGGATGAAAATGTGGGTTTCACTTTCAAAAAGTGATAATAGTTCTATTTTTGATGTGATATCAAATATTTGAATGTTATGTGTGTAAATATGAAAGTTTAGGTGTGAGATATATAAATGCATAAGAATTGTATGCTTATTTATGTAAATGCCCCTAAATTATTGTTCTTTTGGTAATCAAGGTTTGTTTATATGAATTAGGTGGACCGCAAATTGGTGAAACAAACAGTTATGACTTCCGTTTACGGTGTCACCTACATCGGCGCACGCGAGCAAATAAAGAAAAGGTTAAAGGAACGAAACGCCATCCCGGATGATTCCGAGCTATTTAATGCTTCCTGCTATGCTGCAAGGGTAATAAACAACAATTTTATTTCATTCAAATTTGCAACATTTGAGCTCAAATATTAGTATGTGCAATTTGATGGGATGTTTATGATGGACTAATCTTTAGTATTTGAATAGGTTACGTTGACCGCGCTCGGGGAGATGTTTGAAGCTGCCCGAAGCATCATGAACTGGCTTGGTGAATGCGCGAAGGTTTGTTTATTTAGAAAAAAAATGTCAAAATGGTTCATGAATTACTTATATTGGGTTATTTACATGCATACAGCTCAATTTTTGCTTATTTACATATCTGACACCTGCCTATATTCTCTTAGAAATTCAAATTAAGTAAAATATCATCTTATCTTTCTTCTCCTTGCCTCCAAATTATTTTATTTTTCGCGGTTATTAACATATGACTCTGCATGTTCATAACAGTTGATTGCCTTGGAAAATGAACCGGTGAGGTGGACGACGCCTCTCGGCCTTCCTGTCGTTCAGCCATATAATAAGTTAGGAAGGCATCTAGTAAGTCTCTCTCTCTCTATCTCTTCAAGTTAGGAAGGCATCTAGTAAGTCTCTCTCTCTCTCTATCTCTTCTCTCTCTATCTCTTCTCTCTCTCTCTCATCTACTCCCTTTCTCTCTCTCTTTCATACACACACTATCATTGTGCTCGTTATCATTGTGCTCATACACATAGCATAATGATTGAAAATAAAATGAAGAATTTCAAGGGGCCAGGTTCGAGCGGTCACTCGAAAACACACTATCATTATTACACAAGTCCACACAACATGTGCACATAAAAAATGCGAAGAAAGATTTGCACACATGCTACTCAGTTTCCATGTATTTACTTTTTTAGCATCTAAAGTTCAAATTTTACATATATGCCTTCATACCTATGCATGAAAAGGTGTATTTCACCATTTTTTTTAGATTAAATAGTCTTACTTTTGGTGTGATGTGGAAGATTTGGGTGGCATAACTGTAAAAAAATAAAATTTATGTGTTAGATATGTAAATACATAGGAATTGGGGGGTATTATTGTAAATGCCCCTAATGCAAAAGAACTCAGTTTTAACCATGACCGAACTTATGAACATGGCCAATTTGGGCATCATTCTTGCTTTTCACCCTCAACGGAATTTTCGCAGAGTAAAATGATAGGAAGATTTGCATATATACCACTCAATTCCTACACACTTACATATCTAGCACCTAAACTTCATTTTTTTACATACACACCACCTTGCCCATGCATGAAAAAGGTGTATTTCACTTTTCGAAGTTAAATAGATGGTATTTTTGATGTGTTATGAAGGATATTGGTGGTATATATGTAAAAAACAAAGTTTAGGCGTTGGATATGCAAATACATAGGAATTGGTGGGGGGTATGCATGTAAATGCGCCTAAAATAAGCTAACAATCATTCCTTCTTAAATTATAACTGCTTTGGTTGATTTTTTCCTGCAGGTCAGAACTTCTCTTCAAGTCAAGTGTTATCTCTCCAACGAGAGACCGACATGGTAATTAGTTGATTTTCATCTTTATTTTTGGAAGATTTACATACATACCCCTTAATTCCTATGTATTTACTTGTATCTAATACCAAAACTTCAATCTTTACATATATGCCATCTCACTTATGCATGAAAGAATATATTTTACTTTTTAAAGAAATCTCAACTTTGTCATGCATTTATACTTTCATTTAGGTAATGGCGAAACGTCAACGGACAGCTTTTCCGCCAAACTTCATTCACTCCCTGGATGGATCCCATATGATGATGACTGCTGTGGCCTGTAGAAACGCTGGATTGAATTTTGCAGGTAAAATACTGGGAAGATTTACATATATACCACTGAATTCTTATGTATTCACATATCTAACCCCTAAACTTTAATTTTTTACATATATGCCATGACGGGGGCGGGGAGGGGACCCCGGACCGGTTTGGTCCACGTGGGGGGAGGGTCAGTCGGCCCTCTTTCTCTAGAGTTCGGGTTGCCACCCAATCCTAATAGCGACGATGGTATTTAGTTTATTTGCTTTTAAATATGTCGTCGTTTATTGTATTAAGGGTCTATTTCATTCATCTGAGTTTTGTGAGGACATTTGTGCCCTTCGTGGCTCCTGGATGGGAACGAGTTTGTATCCACGACATTGGGTTGTGGCAGTTGTATCTCTCCTCCGTTGTTGTTGGTGACGTCCAGGGAATCCTTCCTTCGACAATCATTCGAGTGATAATTTTTATATCCCGATCAGTTGTGAGAGTAGAAAACTCTTGCATCTTGTACTCGGCCCTCTTTCTCTAGAGTTCGGGTTGCCACCCAGTCCTAATAGCGGCGATGGTATTTAGTTTGTTTTCTTTTATTAGATTTATGTACTTTGTTGATTATAAATATGTCGTCGTTTATTGTATTAGGGGTCTATTTCATTCATCTGAGTTTTGTGAGGGCATTTGTGCCCTTCGTGGCTCCCGGATGGGAACGAGTTTGTATCCACGACGTTGGGTTGTGGCAGTTGTATCTCTCCTCCGTTGTTGTTGGTGACGTCCAGGGCATCCTTCCTTCGACAATCATTTGGGTGATAATTTTTATATCCGGATTAGTTGTGAGAGTAGAAAACTCTTGCATCTTGTATTTTTTATTTTATTAGTGCATCCCGTCTTTGTTTTGGCTGTTTTATTTTCCCGTCTCGGATTGCTTTCTTGGTTGTTCTTGTTGAATCTTCTCCAATCCTCTTTCTCCGGTATCATTTGGTATCAGAGCTACTCTAACCCTAAATTCATTTGAGGGTTACCAAAATTCTCCAAACCTTCTACTCAAAACCCTAATTACCGTCTGATTTAAAAAAATCAGTGACAATAAATATCTTTTCTACACTCTAAATCGTCTCATATATCCTATTTCATCTCCTAAAACTAAACCGTAGTCGTTCCTCCGAGGAGACAAGTGTCGAAAGTTGAAGCCCATCCAATCTCGGGAGGTTAAAGCAGCTCCGCTCCGTTCAACGTGCCGACCAGACGCAGGAGTCAGAAGCTTCTTCGATATATAAGGTCAAAGCTCCACCAACTCCTGTAGTTTGACGCGGGGCGGGGATGGCCCTCCCTCTAGGCTAGGGTTGTCGCCCACTCCTAATAGAAATAAGAGTATTTTCGTCTATTTATGTTCTTTTAATTAGGTTCAAGTCCTTTGTTAATTATAAATATGTGGTCAAATTTTGTATTATTGTTTTTTTTTCATTCATCTGAGTTTGTTGAGGGCTTGTGCTACTTTTGTGATTCCTGAATGGGAACCAGTCTGCTTTCACGGTCTTGGGTGTGGTGACAACTGTGTCCCTCCATTGTTGGTGGTGACATTCCGAGTCTCCTTTCTCCATCAATCATTCGAGTGGTAATTTATGTTCCCCAATCGGTTGCCAGGGCAGAAAACTCGCATCTTGTATTATTTGATTTGATCAGTGCATCTCGTCTTTGCTCTAGTTGGTTTTTGATTTTCCAATCTCCAACCTCCACCCCCTTCTCGGGTATCGTGCCACCTTACCTATGCATGAAAACTTGCTTGTATCTCACCTTTTAAAAGTTGCAATAGTGATATTTTTTATTTGATATGAAAAATTTGGATGGTATATATGTAAAAAGTAAATTTTAGGTGTTAGATATGTAAATACATAATTCTCTCTTTCTGTTCATATTTATAGCTAATTTCATCTGAGCGTAGTTAATTTTTAAATTTCAGGAGTTCATGATTCGTACTGGACTCACGCCTCCGATGTTGATGAGATGAATGTGATTCTTCGAGAGAAGTTTGTGGAGCTCTACAAGCAGCCCATTTTGGAGACTGTATGTTTATTTTGACCCCCCCTTTTTTTTTCAAACATTTTGAATTAAAAAATTTAAAACTATTCGACCGTGTTATTTCTATAGTGTGAAGTGTCAGAATAGTTCCCGATTATTTACATTGTGGTGTTGTTTTAGTCTCGAAGTTTATAGAAGTGTCAAAATAGTGCCCAAATTCTTTAAATTGGGGTTGAAATAGTCTACCTCATGAAGTACTATTATAACTCAATTTTAGAATAGTTGGGACTATATTGACACTTTTATAAACTGTCGGACTAAAAAGGCTCCATATTGATATTTGATGACTATTTTGACACTTTATACTCTATTTTTATATATTTTAATTTTAATTTTATTTTAATTTTTAAAACAAAAATAGAAGTCAAATGATACATAATCAAATGTGTTTTTTTTTTTATTAAATAAATATAGAAAACAAAAGTGATGTCAAACGAGCCCTAAATGTTTGCTATGTTTCTGGTCATAAGATCATGAGTTCAAAGCCTAGCATACGGGTGTAAACGAGTTTTAAGTTGTGCTGGAGCCGACCTCAGTTGGAGCTTGAGCTTGATTAATTAATTGAGTTCAAGCCCGAGCTCGAGATTTATTCTACGAGTTTGAGTTGGCGTACAAGCCAGCTTGATTAATATAAAATAGAGAAATAATATTAATTCAAAGTAGTATTATAATAACATGATAAATATAATGATCAGGCAGGAGATCATAAGAAATCATTTGATATAATGCAAAATAATTTTTTTTTTTAATATTTTTACTAATTTAAAGATAAAGTCTTATTATATGAGTATATTTTATATTAATTATTTTTTCAAGGAGTTGGCTCATGAGCTAATGAGTTGAGTCCGAGTTAGCTTAAGCTTGGCTTGTTAGCTCATCGAACTCAGTTCACGAGCCTCTTATTGAGTCACGAGTCGGCTTGACTCACATTTAAAAAAAATAAAAATATTAATATTAATTAAAAAAATTCCCTTGTTTATATTTTCTAATATTTGAAATATTTGCAGCTACTGGAGAGCTTTAAAAAATCTTTCCCTGCATTAACTTTTCCCTCATTGCCGGACCGCGGAGATTTCGGCCTCAAAGATGTTCTTCGTTCAACCTATTTCTTCAACTAAGGAGACACAAGACCCTAATTTCTATTCATATTTCTGATCGAAACGGCTAACAATGACTCGGTGTGTCGCGAGATACTGAGTTGACTCAGTGCTGTAAGTGAAGGCGAAAATGGTCTGCTTCGGTGAAAATGGCGGCGGACGGAGGGAGCTCATCGGCGAATATTTAAGAGCCTGGAAGTTCAGTGAAGGCCAAAGGAACCATTGGGTTCTGAAGTTTGGAAGCAGATGTAGGGATGGTTTTGATTTTTGTATGTTTTATTTACATATTTGTTTTGTTGAGGTCTACAATAATATGTAAATATTTATATTTATATGTGGAAAATTTACATAAATGCCGCTTAATTCCTTTGTATTTACATATCTAACACCTAAACTATAGTTTTTGCACGTGTGCCACCTCTTCCATGCATGAAAAAGTGAAAAATGGTAGTATTTTTTACGTGGCATGAGAGATTTGGGGATATAAATGTAAAAAAAATAAAAGTTTGTGTTAGATGTATAAATACATTAGAATTGGGTGGTATGTATGCTAATGAGCGTATTATGTACTATAGTTGTAGCATTGATTTAAAGTATCAGTAGGATTCTATTTATATATATATATTATTGATGAATAAAAGCAGCTTATTGTGCTTCAGTAGTCTTTATGTACTATAGTTGTATGCATGTAAAAACAAAAGTTTAGGTGTTGGATATATACATCAATAAGAATTGATTGACAGCACCCAGAATCTTCCTTTCTATATTCATTTAAATGAAATTGTAGCATTTGGGACTTTATCAATAACTAGGGCGGTCAAAAAAGCTCGTTGTTCACTACAATTCTTGTTTGGCTTGCCAGGGAACTCGTGTTCGATTCGTTTGCTCAAACGAGACGAACATGAACAATTTTTTTTCGTTCGATTAATTAAACAAATCAGACACGAACAGTGATGCGTTCGTTCGAGTTCGAATTGTTATTGTTCAAAATATATAAAAATTCTATTAGCCTACTCTCTTTAGAGATGTTTACAGATATATAAAAACTTGTGATCGATATCAAGGAGTAGACAATATATCTAGAAGAAATGAAATCCATCTGAATTTCATGTTAGAAGTTGAGCTCTTTGATGTTTGGGGATTAAATTTTATGAGATCATTTATTCTTTCATCTCGGAACTTATACATATTAGTTACGGTAGACTACATTTCAAAGTGGATTGAAGCACAAACTTTACCTTGTGACGCTAAAAGTGTTTCAAAATTTTTAATGAAAAACATTTTCACTAAAATTTATGATATTTTAAAATATTAAATTTTATAAATTATAATATATAATATATTAATAAATTATATTAATAATATACTAATATAAATATTGTATATTTATATAATATAAATTATATAATTAACATAATATATTATTTATATATATTAATATTAGGAATGTCAAACTGGCTCGTCTTTTTTTTAGCTCGGTTTTCGCAAACAGCTCATGTTCGGCTCGTTCGTTAAGAAACAAACACGAACAGTTATCCCACGAATAAATTCAAACACGAATTTATTTCAAACAAACTAAATTTCAAACGAACCGAACATGAACACAAGCTTTGTTCGTTCGTGTTCAGTTCGTTTACACCCCTATCAATAACTTTGGTTCTCATAATTTAATATTTTTTTAATATATTTTAAATATTTTAAGTTAAATATTGTATAATTATAAATTAATATATAAGATTAAGTATAAACTACTTACACGTAAAGTGTTAATAACTGGTTTAAAAACTTGTCCAAGTTGAGATCTAAGCTAATGATTTTTATGTAGAACACCAAGGGGCAAGATTATAATTTTTTTTTATATAATTTTCATAATATGAACATAATTAATTTTACAATCACATAGTAGATTACTTTAACTGAGCTAGACCCGATGATTTTATTCCCATTCCATAGTTTTTCTAAGTACTTTTATATTATTTGTGTTTGTTAAATCTTCGCGCAACACTAAGACATTAAAACTATAACTCTGCAGCCATGAGTTTTCCAACACAAAACTACATAAATGTGTGTGTGTGTAATTAAAGTTTTGCGGATATTATATAATACGAGTTGTTGAAGTTTAGACCTTCTATTCCTTTTGATATAGTGAATTCTTCTATACTGCATGTTTTTTTTTTCTTGATATATAGTCAAGAAATAAAATCATATATATTAAAATAAAAATAAACAAGTATATTTTCTATTAAGCCATAGAAATATGATATACATAAAATTGAAAGTATTTGCAATATAATCATAAATATGATTTACAACTGATTCTATATAAACCAAAATCTATATAAACCAGAATCATTTAAAGAAAATATATATTATGTCTATATTTTCATTATATATATATATATTTATTTATTTATTTATTTCTCTTGGAAACGAAGGTTTAGACCATTACAAATGAAGACTTTAGACTATTCAAAGTCAAGTAATATATTTATGAAAGATTTACATGCATACCACTCAATTCTTATCTATTTACATATCTAACACTAAAATTTCAATTCCTTCCGTGTATGCCACTTAGCCCATGCATGGATTTGTGCATCTCGCTTCTTAAAAGTTAATATAGTGAAACTTTAGAGTTATTTACATAAATATCATATAAATACAAAAAAACTATATGATATTTATGTAAATAACCCTATTATCACCTAAACATGACCAACTCTCCAAAAACTAATCTTCTTCTCCAAGGAAGAAAGACTTGAAGACTATTCCAAAGTCAACCAAAACCTTCACAAATAAATCCTCCAAACCAAAAACTCAATGAAAGCCAAAAAAAAAGGAGCAAAAACGAAACCCTAATGGCTACCTCCAATCCACCAAAACCCTCAAATCTTCTCAAAATCATATGGGAAGCTCTCATCTTCCTCACAAATAACTGGAAGCCTGCTCTCATCTACATCTTCTTCTACTCCACCTTCTTCCCCCTATCCTTCTTCCAATCTTCTGCAATCACTCCCATCATCACGAATCTGCAGCAAAACCTAATCTCTCTCTCAAAACTGAAGCCTCAAGACCCAGATTTCTACCAAACCCTAACAGTCATACTAACTGAGATCAGAGAGATTACAGCAAAGGAAACAGTCTTCTACGTCGCCATCTTCTTCCTCTCCACTCTTTTACTTGCTTCAACACTATGCTTTATCTGCATGGCTTATGCTGATAAGAAGCAACCAGAGTTGAAGGAACTGTTGTCTAAGTTCAGAAGAACATGGAAGGGTGCACTGATCACTCAATTCTATGTCACCATCTTCGGGCACATGAGTGTTTTTATAAGCTTTTTGTTAACATGTGGAATTGCATTATTTTCAGTGAATTTTGCAGGAGTTGCAGTGAGTTTTGTTCTTCTGATACTAGGAGTGATTTTATATCCGTATTTAGCTATGATTTGGTTGCTTAGTGTTGTGGTTTCAGTAGAAGAAGAGGAAGGAGGAGGAGGAAGAATAAATGGACTTGCTGCAATAGTGAAGGCGACAGAGATGATGAAAGGGAGGAGATTGAAAGGGATTTTGATTGCTTTTATATTGATTTTGTTGAATTTGGTTGTTTGCTTGCCTCCACTGATGCATCTCTCTTCATCTGAAAGTAAGGAAATGGTGATTTTGGGCATATTTTTTGTTGTTGGTGCAGTGGTGAAATTGTTTGAGTTGGTTGTTGTAGTTGTGTTCTACTTTGAGTGTAGGAATGGAGGAGGATTGAAGATGAATAAATTTGGGGCAGAGTATTCTAAGTTGGCTAGTGAGGATACTGTGGATTCAGAGATTCCATGAATGTGTTTTTAGGATCTTGTAGTTGTGGTTTATTTGGGGTCTTTTTTGGTTATTGTTAATGTGTTTTCGTTTTTATGGAATAGGTTGAAGAGATGAGAAATAAAGTATGTTTGTTAAGTTGTTTTATCTTTTTTTATTATGTTCTATTGATTGTTGAGATGAGAAATAAAGTATGTTTGTTAAGTTGTTTTGTCTTTTTTTATTATGTTCTATTGATTGTTGAAGTTGCTCAACTATTGATTGTTATGGTGATAATCTTATGGAATTTGTGATTTATGATAAAGACTTCTATTAGTATGAGATCACTTGAGGTTAAATTTCCTTCTTGTTGGCCCGCTCCATCCCGATTCTGGTAGGTGGCATCCATGGGCGTAACTAAACCAAGCCGCTCGTAAGCCGGTTCAGGCAAGGCTTGACTCGATAAGTGACTCGCAAATTGAGATTGATGACCTAACAAGCTAGTCCCAACTTTGTTCGTCAGCTCGTGAGCTAGTTCGTTAAAAAATAATGAATATTAATACAATCAAATTATCTTAAGTTTAGAAAATGTATTTATAAATTATCAAAGACTTTAAATTTTGGATATGTATTTTATATCAAGTAAATTTATATTATTTACCTGCTAATTATACATTCTATTTGTACTTTTATTATGACATTAGCTTGAATTAATATTATTTTCTCTCTATCATAACAAAGTAGACTAAGCCATCTTGAACTCATAAAATTAAACTCGAGCTCAAGCTCAAATTCGATTAATTAATTTAGTTCTAGCTCAAGCTGATAGTGCTAGAATTTAAGTCAACTCAATTTCAAAATGTAGAATGAAAAAAATCATTCTATAGTGGCTAGAATTCGACTCGACTTAATTTCAAAATGTAGAACGAGAAAAATCATTCAATAGTGGCTAGAATTTGACTCAACTCAATTTAAAAGTCTAGAAAGAGAAAAATCATTCTATACTTTTAATGACCTCGATATCAAATGATGGTCCGAGCAATCTTATTAATGAATACTAATTTCAAACAATAGTATATATTTTTATTTCCTATACTCATTTATAATTAATTTTACAAAAAGTTATAGCCGCCCGAAAATACTCGATGAACCAAAATAGTTGATGAAGTTTCTCAGCCAAAGTTGTGAGATTTACCATAAATGTTAGGTAGAGAGCTATTCTGGCTTTTTCCTCCTTGAGTTGATTTCCATTGCCCAAGCTCTGCCAACATCAGTCTGAAACTTCCCTGCAGATGGAGAAAAAGCACTACAAAAATATTATTGTGCTTCACAAATAACGAAAAATGGACAAATATAAACTCTATGTTGGAATAGTTATGTTAGATAATGTCTTTTGGAGCTACAAAACTATAAGAGAGACTTCATAGAAAGAAGACCGCATAGAGTTATAAGAACATACAGATATAAGAAAAAATGGGGCATTTACATGCATGCTTCCTATGTATTTATATATCTAATATTTATACTTTGCTTTTTTGCATTTGTGACACCCATAATCTCATATCACATTAAAAATACTACTATTTTAACTTTTCATAAATGTGGAATTAACCTTTACATGCATAGATAAGGTGAATATGTGAAAAAATTGAAGTTTAGGGGGGGTTAGATACATAAGAACTGAGTGAAATGTATAAAATCCTTTCAAAAAAAGAAAAAAAAAACTTACCAAAATAACACTTCAATAATAACGAATACATCACCATGCTCTCCACAAAAACATCCATTTTTTCACTCCTAACACCTTTTTAATGGTGAAATACACATTTTTCAGGCAGAGGTTTATAAAACCAAAGTGTTATGAATACAAATATGAAAAATTATGTCATGTACATAAATTCCCCTATAAATTTTAATATAAATTAATGTTATTAAATATGTTCAAAGGTTTTCTTAAGAATTATGTAGAATGTATATAAATTTTCCAATTTTACACTCGTAGCACTAAAATCTTTAATATCAGATAACAAAATACTACTATTAATAACGATTTAAAAGTGAAATACACCTATATGGAATGTCTAAGTGTTAGATATGTAAATTCTTAAGAATTATGTGTTTTGTGTGTAAATTTACCTATAAATTTTAATGTGAATTAATGTTATATAAAAAAAAAAATTAACAGCAAAGGTTGTTTGTAGAATCTGATGCTTGAGAAACCCTCCTTATCCCTCAGATAACTCTTCCTGGATGAGCTCAGGTCTCTGCTGGGAGCTACAATTTCTAATCTTAAAATCATAGTGGAGTTGAACTTCATCTAGTAGTAAGATAGAAGTCTCAAAATAGTCTCAAAATTATTTACATGAGGCTAGTTTATTCCTAAAATATCACATTTTTGCAATTTAATCCCACGACTATACAAAATTAATTCCATCATTAAAAATTGTGATACAAAATTGATTTCAATTTAGTCGAGAAAGCATTTTGGATCAATTCTGGTTGGTCAATGGACTAAAATCGCGAAATATGATACTCTAGAATTAACTTGGTCAATAAAGCCAGGGGACTACTTTAAGATTTAACATCTTGCTGTACGAAGTATGATGCTGGGGTTATCTCAGTTCTGGTTCCGATTCAGGGTTTAGAAAAATGATGACGACGAAACAAGACAACCATATTTTCATCCAATGTATTTACAAGTATAACACCTATACTTTTTACAATTATGCCTCCCAAAATTTTCATATCACATAAAAAAAATCACCATTTTGACTTTTAAAAAATAAAATACACCTTTTAATGCATGGGTAAGATGGTACGTATGTAAAAATTAAAGTTTAGGTGTCAGTATGGAAAAACCAAATAGAAATTTGTATTTCTTCCTTCTTTGAATTGATCATACAAGGTATTATATAGGAGATTAAAAAGAGAAAAATTAGGAAACTATTTAACTAATTCCCTTAATTTAAGGGATTACAAATTTATTCTAATTCCCTTAATTTAAGGGATTTACCAATTAATTCTAATTTCCTTAATTAAGGAAATTAGAATTAATTCTCACAACTTTATTTCCATCTCAGTCACATCTCGACACTCCCCCTCAAGCTGAGGAATAGATGTCTTCCATTCCCAGCTTGGATATAAGATCATGGAAACTTGAACTGTTCAGCCCCTTTGTTAGAACATCGGCTCATTGTTTTTTTA